AGGTCGGAGGAGCCCGCGGCCCCAGCTCCGGAGAGTCGAGAGGCGGCGGCGGCGGCGGCTTCCCTTTTCTCCCCGTGCGAGCTCCGGAGCGCCTCGGGGATCGGCCCTAAAAAGAGCAGGAAATCTTGTTTACCGCCCGGGGAGAGGAGCCGATCGAGCCTTTGTCTGGAAAGTCAGCATCTCCGGCTCTGGCTGCAATGTGCTCCCGGTGACATTAGCATCGGGCAGACTGGTCGCAGAAGCGGGGATCGCCAGGGTGCCCTCTGGTTGCAGAGGCGGATCAAGTGGGTGACTTTTTGTGCATTCGTTTTAATTTTTGATAATCTGGCTTTTCTCCTCCGTCGCTCGCCGCCGGGCATGTCCTGATCGGGCGGCCGCTCCTACCGCCCCGGCTGCAGATCTGAGGAGCCGCTTCCAGCGGGTCTCGCTCCCTCCCTGACTTTGCAACGCCGCGTTCCGGGAGGACCGACCTCCGGGAGGAAGGAGGCGGGGGATCCGCGAACACCGGACCCAAACCTTGACATGCTCTCGGGCGGAGAAGAGGAAGCCCGGAGCTGAGCGCGCCGCCGGGGCTGCCTCGCCTGCCAGCTGCGAGCAGGGCTCCGGGCGCCGTGCTCTGCGCCTGGGCGCCAGCTTTGTTGGTCTGGGGGGCGCCCCCAGTTTGCCGCCCGGGGGTTCGTGGCCGGCAGGACCATGCTGCTGAAGGAGTACAGGATCTGCATGCCGCTCACCGTGGACGAGGTAGGAGCCGCGCCGCCCAGGGCCGGGCCTCGCCAGCTCACGACCCCTCGCGCCCGGGCGCCGTGGCCCCCGCCGCCGCCTCCCGGCTGGGGGGCCACTGCGGGTGGCAGGGAAACCCTGGGAGAGCATTACCTCTCGGGGCAGGCTGGACAGGGAGGAGGAAGGGGAGTGCCGTTTCCACTTGTCACCCCAAAGGGGGAGGGCGGCGTTGGGTGGGGCGGTGGACTCCAGGTGGGCTCTTTGGGGGCACCCAGAATCCACACCGCCGGGGATCGGTATGCGCCAAAGGGAGTTGGGGCGCCCCCTCCCTCCAATTAAGAAAACGAATAAAGGAATCCCTGGAGCCCCAAGCGCGTCCTGGTAACTGAAAGGGGCGCGGTGAGGAGGTCCGGGACCCCGACCCGCCTGGGGCCCCTCCCTCCTTTCGCTCTGAGGTCGGGGTCGGAGAGAAGCGCTGCGCCCTCGGGGTGCAGAGGCCCGGAGCTTCTCTGGGGGGCATCTCCGAGCCTTTGAAGCGCCGGCCTGGGCCGGGATCTCTCGCGCTCGTCGCAGCTTGGGCGCCGTTCTCCCTCCATGCTCCCCCCTCCACCCCGCCCCACTCGGGAGTAGCGACGCGCCGGGACCTGGCCCCGACCTTTAGCAAGCCGCTGGCTTCGGAAACTTTGTGCGTCTCCAGTTTCCTGTGCCTCGGGGAGCGTGGTCTGCGGGCGGGCCGGGAGCGGCGGGGCTGCGGCGCCGCCACGGGAGGGCGCCCCAGCACGCGGTGTCTCGGTCGCGGCTCGGGATCCCGGAGTAGCCGGGAGGGGGCTGCTCGGGGCTCGACCTCCCCGCGCCGCGCGGGGCTCGTGCTCCCGATCCCGCGCAGCAACTATCTTCCTCGTTCAGGAAACGATGACTCAGTGAGGATTATTCAGGCCCGGGCTTTCCTTTATTCTTGCTGTGCCTCCCTACCTTTTAGGTAATTTCACAATGGCTTAGCGCCCGTCCAGGGATAGGGAGGGAGCGTGAAGCCAATCAGAGCAATTTGAAACTCACTAGGTTGGTTTGGCGTGGCAACACAAACGAAACCAGCGACCAGAACCTTATTTATATTTAAATACCGTGCATTTAATCTACCGTAGGCCGTGTTACTGAGTCACTGCTTTGTGAAAGGGTCCAGGTGCTTTGGGAAAGAAAAAGATGATTTAACCCAGGAACGTGGCCGTATGCCCGAGGGACTGTCTCCATTTGTCATCAGAGCGAGTGTTAAGGCAAGATCCAAGTGCCTCCCAGTACACTGATTGACGCTCTTTGCTGTTTGTTTGCATTGGAGGGGATAGTGTTTGAAGTAAGGTGCCATGTGAGTAGGCAGAATTGGGGGCTATATCCCGACCTTTAAGGAGGTGGAGAATCAGCTCACAGCCATGTGGAGAAGGAGGGAGGCAAATTGATGGGACTGGTTGACTGGAGTATTTCTAGAAAAGAGAGAACTTCTCTGCTGGGCGGTGGAGCTGGAACAGCTCAGCTTAAAGCTGTGTCTATACCTGCTGCATCTCTTCCCAGTGACTATTTATTGATAGGAGTTTGGAATCTAGGAGCCATGTTGGGACTGTGTGAAATCCACACAAAAATGCAGAGAAGAGAATAATCAGTTCTAGAATCTTCTCTAGCACCTGCACAATCTCTTTTCTTCTGTTTGGTTCCCTGTTCAGGCTTTCTTGAGCTCTCGGGAAAGGATCCCCTCCACTTTTCTTTGGTGCTGATGTACCTGTCACTTGGAGGTGAGCAATCACATCTGAGTGGTAGAGGTGGAGTCCCTTCCGTTCTTAATTGGCAAATGAAATCAGACTCCACCTGTAGTATAATGTATAATTATAACTTAATTAGTACATTATTCACTTGGACTGAAGCATGATTCAGTTTCTGGAAGGTCACATAGTCTGATGTAGTTAGTTTGTCAGAGCATGGAAGCAGTTTAGATGAACAGAGGTTCCAGAGTGGAAGGAATCAGACGAACCAGATCACACGAGGGGCAGCAAGGCCCAACTTGCCAAAGTTAGCCCCTGATGTCCGGACAGGTGGTAAACCCCACCAGCCGGGTCCCCTTGCTCAACTCTTACTGACCGTCACATTGAAAACTGAGAGACAACCTGTCAGTGTCTTTGAAGCAGACGTTACCTTTGCCTTTACAGACTTGGGAACCTAACTTTCACTTCTGCTGTTGATTTGTGTTGAGCCTAATTCTTGTATGCAGAACCTTCTGGAGTGCGTTTCTGTTTAAGCACCACATTGAGAAGTTGCCATGTCCATATTGTCGAAAATTCCCTCTTCGGAGAGTTGGGGCTAGAACCTTCATTGCGTGTCCTGTCTTTATCCCATTAACACTGGGTGGAGGGAGCATGGGGGGGGGCAGGTCGGTTATTATCCACCTCTTCCTGATGGGAAACTGAGATTTAGAAAAGGCTAAGTGGTGTGTGCCAGTGACTAGCCATGCTGGAACCAGAGTGATGGCAAAGCCATTATTTGCTTTTCTTTACCCCGCTCTTTGCCTGTCACGAGTAAGTAATCAAGAAAAGGGAAAAATATGTCTTGACAACAGACAGAATCAGCATTATCAAAAAATGAACAATCAAAAGGCTTTTGAATTGTTTCAGAGACGAGAGGGCTTGTTTCTACTATTTCTCTAGCCTTTTTTAAAACTCGTAAAATGTCTTCTAGTTTCAAGCTCTAGAGCAGAAAGAAAATAAAGCTGAACTGCTGTCTAGACCAGAGCGTTGGAGTTCTGTTGAGTTTTAGACGTCAGTTTCAGAAGAAAGGATTATAAGAAATGACATTCCATGGGTTACTTTTATAATTAAAAAGAAGTCATTGGAATAGTCTCTTTTCTGTTTGATGTCTCTTCTGGAGTAAATATAAATGCCCTTGGAAAGATCTGAACAGTTCAAGGTCTCTGGGGGTTGGTGTTGGCTATAGCGGGACAGTTGTCATTGTCTTAACTTGAAACATTTGGTGATCTAAATTTTAGAACTTTAGAGTTGCAGAAACAATCTGTAGTTGAGCCCTTTCAGCTGGGGGAGGAGACTAGAGCTGAGGTGGGCCCAGTGAGTTGTCCATCCCAGGACTGAGGGCAGACTCCAGGCTGGAGCCCAGGTCTCAGTTCCTGCTGCAAAGCTGTTCTACCACAGACCAGAGGTTCTCCAACCCCCACCTCTGGGCACTCGTTGTTGGAAAGGAGCTTGATGTGTACAGCAGGTCTGCCAGCTGTCTGTAGCTGAAGGTGGGCTGGAGACGCTGACCTTGTCTCCTTAGGGGACATTCCGGATTGTCACCTGAGTGGGGGTTCTGTTTGAAGCTGCTTTTGTATGCCAAACCCACTGGTTTCCCTAGACTGTATGCTTTAGGGCGGCTGATGGCTATGTGGGTCCATTGACATAAGGGTGGGATTCAGCCCCCCAGACCTCCCAGCCTTGCCTGGGCACCACCACTGCTCCCGGGGTCCCAACCCCCATTCCCATTTCAGGACTCCTTGGACCACAGTCTGGTGCTTGCTGCTCCCCAAGGTACTTATCAGAAAGAGGATCCTAAGACCGGAACCCCATGGTTCCTTCACTGGCTTGGGTGTTTAACATTAGCATTAATGTGTGTACTTTTAGGGATGTCTTTAGGGATTGGTACACAATGAAAAATAGAAAAGCTGTCCCCAAGACAAGAAGAAAGAAAAGAAAGGAAAACAACTTTTTAATACAGAATCCTGTTTTGTTCTTTGCCCTGGCAGTGGGCCAGTGCACTGCAGCCAAGCTCCTGGGGTAAGAGGCCCTAGGGAATTTGGTTACGTATGTTTCTGAGAACAGATTTGGGATCAGGGTGGCGCCTTCTCTAAAGACCTAAATGGAGATGCCCGCAGTGCTCTTTACTTCCTCTGTTTTAAGTGATTTTCATGGAATGCTTCTGAAACACGTGACACCAACAACTCAAGAGATTTTAAGCCTGCTCCTGGCACCAGCATTTTGCTGTTTGTTCTCCCTCAGATAAAGGCTCCACCATGGATCTCATAGACCTCCAGGATGGCTCACAAACATAATTTATGAGAATATCTTTTATTTATTTAATTAAAATTATTTATTTATGCATCAATAAATAAGAACTGGGGCACAGGCCAGAGGTGTGAGAGAGAGGGGTGAGAGGCTTCACCAGAGACAGAGTGGGGAGCAGAACAGGCTGACTGGTGAAGTCCACTGCTGAGGGGAGCAGCGGGCGGGTCAGGAGAGGTCTGCCGCGCCGTGTGGGTCACCTCCGGGGCGGGGATCGAACTCATGCTGAAGTGACTTTAGCTTCTTAGTGCTGTGCTTAAACCCTGTGCCACCAGGGATGGCCCAATTTTTGAAACTTTTTTAAAAGAAGTTGCTGTGTGTGAGTGTGAGCCTGGCTGGGAGCGACAAAGGTGAGGGCTGTGAGTTTTGATGTCTGGCCAATCCCAGTCGCTTCTCTTGCTTGTGCAACAGCAAGAACCATGTCTCTCTTGCAGCCCAGCTATCTTTCTTACACAGCTCCCTTCTAGGTTGTGAGGGGCACCATGGAAGGCCAGGGCAGGTTAATGGATAAGTGCAAACCTTTCACTGCTAATGGAACAAACAACAAGGAGCAGATGCTGTCCTGGGGGCTGGTCAGTGAGGCTGATTTTGTGAGTGAAGGATGCGAGCAGCTCCTGTGAACTGAATGTCCCTAGATCATGGGCCTTGAAAAGATGCATGATTGTTAACAAAACCCTGGTGAAGAGTGGGGAGCTATGAACTTTTGTTTTTCATTACAGAGGCTCCCAGGGAGTCCCAAAGGCGCTAAACAGCCAACTTAGAGACCCGGTGTCTGATGAAATAGGCATTATTGATATTAACAGTAAGGTGACTAATCTTTTCAAAAAGGCTCTCATTTTACGGGCATGGAAAATGCTATTTGTTGTAAGCAGTTTTAAAAAATAGTAGATTTTCAACACTCCACTTCTTTAAGAGTGCCCCAGAGTGTCA